GCAACATCAATAAGCAATTCAAACTTGGATCACAGTCAGCACTAGGACATGGATGTAGCTGAATTGTCAGTTTGTAATTTTTTTTACCTTCTTTCCCTCTGTTATAAAATGGTCATGCCTGTTCACTTTCAGAATAGGATCTGAAGTGGGTCCACCCCACGAAAGCTCATCACCTAATAAACTATTTTGTTAGTCTTTAAAGTGCTACATGACTTTTTTTGTTTTGTTTTACCATGTATTTTCAGAGGCAGGATACAGTTGCCTATAGATGACAATGCTCCTAATAGCAGGAGTCATCCTACCCCTCTAGTCATCCTACCAGGGATCCAGCCAGTCTGGAAGGCTACTGTTCCTGTTACCCAATTGGTCGTGTTATATTTGCTACACGGCAGTAAATCACCAACATCAACCTTGGGGCAAGCTAGTTATTCCAGTGCTGCCAACTCTCACATTACTTGGTGTTTCAGTTAAAGCCCCAGCTCCTGGAGTCATTATTACATGAGACTTTCAGGTTCTTTTAAAGAATAACAAGCAAATGTCCAACCCTCCTCGTTTTGGGGATGGAAGTGAGGTGTATCTGACCTAAGTGTAGCCTAAAGGCTCAGAAATTGGAAGGGCAGAAACCCCACAGATTTATGTTTTAAGAATTTCATGATTTTTAAGACACTCATGAGTTTGAAGTCTTGGTTTACCATATGCAATGATCAGTATGCACACAGCATACATAAACAGCAGTGAATGCTGCTGCCAGAGTAGTCTATCCTAACATAATTACCATGACAGTGTAGGGCTCTGCATTGTGGGGCTAGATCCACTTTCTGCATTTCAAAGAAAGGAATTCCACATTCCTTGTATGAATGGTCTCCAAGTGAAACATGAAAGTACTATAAATCTCATTTTAAAATATCAGTTTCCGGTTATAGAGAAGCCAGTTAATGTGGCTTCATGTTTACAATTGAACTGCTTAATTTCATTTCCTCCACTGCAGCATGTAACTAATACCCTTTGATGGCATTAGCAATTACTATTACTCTATAGTGGGATTACTAGACCCTTTAAACAAAGCTAAATAGCCACTGCCATTGTGTATGTCAGACTGGACAGGCATGCACACACCAACAAATGAAGGGCAAACAGCAGCATTACTCAAGCAATCCCATGAGACAGCTAGTCTATGAGGGTATGTCTACACTACCCCGCTAGTTTGAACTAGCAGGGTAATGTAGGCATACCGCAATTGCAAATGAAGCCCGGGATTTGAATTTCCCGGGCTTCATTTGCATAAGCGGGGCGCTGCCATTTTTAAATCCCCGCTCGTTCGAATCCCGTGCCACGAGGAGTAACGGTAGTTCAAACTAGGAAGCCTAGTTCGAACTACCTAGTTCGTGCCGCGTGTAGCCGCGCGGCACGGGGTTCGAATGAGCGGGGATTTAAAAATGGTGGCGCCCCGCTTATGCAAATGAAGCCCAGGAAATTCAAATCCCGGGCTTCATTTGCAATTGCGGTATGCCTACATTACCCCGCTAATTCGAACTAGCAGGGTAGTGTAGACATACCCAGAGAGAGCACCTGCCATTAGATCCCTGGAAAAGATAAAAATACTTGTATTTGTAATATCACTCAAATGAATATTTTAGAGCACTTTAAGGGGGGGGGGGGGGGGCACTCCAAGATATTGGTAAGTGGTCAAGTGCTTCATTTTTCTGTGGAGATGTGGGGTCTTGGACAGAGGTTGGGTGCAGAAGGGAACTCAGTGTAAGAGACTGGGGTACAGAAGAGGGTAATAGAATCATAGAACCATAGAGCTGAAAGAGACCTCAGGAGGTCATCAAGTCCAGCCCCCTGCTCTAGGCAGGACCAATCCCAACTAGATCAACTGAGCCAGGGCTTTGTCAAGCCGAGACTTAAACACCTCTAGGGATGGAGACTCCACTACTTCCCTAGGTAACCCATTCCAGTGCTTCACCACTCTCCTAGTGAAATAGTTTTTCCTAATATCCAACCTAGATCTCCCCCCACTTGTAATTTGAGACCATTGTTCCTTGTTCTGCCATCTGTCACTACTGAGAACAGCCTCTCTCCATCCTCTTTGGAACCTCCATTCAGGAAGTTGAAGGCTGCTGTCAAATCCCCCCTCACTCTTCTCTTCTGCAGACTAAACAGACCCAACTCCCTCAGGTTCTCCTCATAGATCATATGCTCCAGCCCCCTAATCATTTTAGTGCTGGGTCTCAGAGGGAGTTTGGGTGAAGGAGAAGGTTGTGACTTGGGGTATAAGTGCAGGAAAGGATTCTGACCTGGAGGAATAGTGTGAGAGGGGGTGCAGGCTCTGGGAGGGAGTTGGGGTGCGAGAAAGGGGGGGTACCACAGAAGAGGGGGTGCAGGCTCTGGGAGGGAGTTGGGGTGTGAGAAAGGGGGGTACCAGAAACAGGCTCTGGCTGGGAGGCGCTTACCTAACCAGCTCCTGGCCAGCAGCACTCTCAGGCAGGCTCCCCAGCCTGCCAGCAGCCCCGGACCATCGAGAGTGGCTAGCTGTTCCATGTGGATCTCTGCACTTTATGGGGAGCAGGCGGGGGGGAGGCTGTGTGTGCTGCACTGCCCCCACCCCAGCACAATCTCTCAGTTCCCACAGGCTAGTTTAATGCAATTTATATTATCTGAAGTATGCAAGGATGTGTCACACAGTGAACGATACATTCTGACCTTGCACTGGCCCCAGTGAGGTGTATACATTCTTTAGGGAGGCTGCTAGCAAGGCCTCATCCACATTTCTGACTATGCTGGGGCAAAAGGGGTTTACCACTTGATTTGAGTGACAGGAAATCTACCTGTCATCCACTGGAATGATGAAGCGCAGTCCCACTTGTATAATTCTTTTTGGAAACTCACTGATGGTTTAGCCAATCCATTGTTAAAGTGAAGATGAAGAAGAAGAGTCTTGCTGCTTCTGCCAGACACATGTGCATGTCAAACAGTGACCCTGAAGTAAGCGAGCAGCCAGGAACCAGTGAATGCTTGATTTTAAAAACCCCTTCCTTTGCCCTGTTTGATTCAAACATTGAAGCCTTTGGCTGAAATGGTTTACAGCTATCTTATCCTGATGTAATTTAAGTGCCTATTCAGGGATTTGCACCCCTTTAACTAAAATGATTTGAAAACTAAGGCCACATCTATACTTACTGGTGGATTGATGCTCCAGAGGTTGATTTTCTGGTGTTCAATTTAGCAGGTCTAGTATAGATCCATAAATTGAGGACAGCTCCAGCCAGCACCTGTACTCCTTGCAACTGCAAGGAGTAAGGGAAGCTGACAGGAGCTCCACCTGTGTGGATGCAGAAACGCACTTTAAAATGTCAACTCCAGCTACATAATTAACATAGCTGGAGTTGCGTATCTTAATTCAACCTCCTGCTGTAGTATAGACTAGGCCTAAGGTTTTCGATCACATGGAACAACTTGAGTTTAGACAGGGATATTGAGTAGCAGTATTAAATACACTGATGCCTCACATAAATGTCAGAAGATTTATTTTCAGTCTGTACAAATAGAGCTGTGCTGCTCTCATCCACAATCTCTCTCTCCATTACAATTCTAAATTCTCATACAAACAAGAACAGCAAGACACTTAAAAAGGGCAGCCTTTGGCAGGCACAATAAGACTAGTTAGAGTTCAAACAATAAATTGGGTATCTGTTTTTTTTTTAATTTAAACCATGATTTAAAAACCACAAAGTTAAAAGCTGCCAAGGACAAACAAAAAACCCAGAGGGAGAGGGAAGAAACATGATAAGCAATTAAATCCCAGAGGCAAACAACTGGGTTCCAAGAGCTGTAAATACAGAGGACACAGAAGTGAA